GGAGAAACCAGCCCGGGTTCTGGAGGCTTCCGGAGCTTGGCCATGGAGCTGGGGAAGGAGCAGCTTGCACAACCGGTTTCCTCCAGCGCCTGCAACAGCTGACCTTGCCTCCAGGGAATCCTGCCAAGGTCAAGTTTCACTTCCTCTTCTGGAGTCTGGGAATCTAGGGAGGGGTGCAGCTGGCAGCAGCCAGAGGGGGGCCAGGCCGGGCCCCACCCCTACAGTCTGACCCCCGCAGGAGGGGAAAATCCACCCTCAGGAGCTTGGGGTGGAGCAAAGGTGCTCACTTCTCTGAGTGGCCAGGAGGAAACGATGTAAGGCTGGCCCGGGTCAGTGGGCAGCGTCGGGCAGGCCCCGTCAGGTGGCTCTGGGTCACGGCTGGCCGTCCCATCCAGGGGCAGCCAGAGCGGCGCTGTGCTCTGGGCTGGGGCAGGGGCCCTGACCACTCCCCGCAGCCACGCCTCTCCGGGCCCCCAGTGCCCGCGGGGGTGGGGGGGAGGGCGTGTCCGCAGTCAGTCAGGGGTCTCTGTCCCTGCCCGTGTCCCCCCTGGCGGCCGCACGCTGAGCCCTCGGGCCACGGGGCAGCCCAGACTCACGACATGCCTGGCCACTGCGCCGGGAGGCGCCCACAGGGTGCCAGGGACCAGGAGCGGCAGAAGAGCCTCGGACACGGAGGCGGCGAGATGGCCGCCTGGAGACTGGGGGCTGACAGGAAAGCCCCGGGCCAGTCCAGAGGGACAGGGCCTCGTGACATGTCCACTCAGGAGGTCGGGCGGGGCCGAGCTGCTTCTGGAGCCCGTGGGGGAGCGGCCCGCGCCCCCTACGCCTCCCGGAGCGCCTTCTGCGCGGGGCCCTGGAAGCGGGCGCAGACCCACCCCGCACGCCGAGCCCCGCGTCCGGCACTCACCATCACGAGCTCCTTCTGGAAGGACTTGCGGTCCTTGTTCTCCGCGTTGTTGCAGTCCTCCTTCAGCTTCTCCAGGACCGAGGCCACGCGCTCGGGCTCGCTGTCCAGCTCGGCCCGGCAGAAGGAGGCGAGCGGCAGGTGCCCGTAGCCCAGGGCGTCGGCGAAGGCGCGCCAGCTGCCCACGTTCTCCATGAGCAGCGTCCTGACGGAGGCGTAGATGTAGGTGAGGAACTTGCAGGGCCGCAGAATCTGCTCCAGCAGCAGCGAGGTGCTCAGCTCGGGCCCGGCCAGCGGGCCGGGCCTGGCGGCGCCCACCACCAGCACGTTCTTGGCGTGCACGAGGCCCAGCCGGCCCTGGTGGAAGCCGATGTACCACTCCTTGGTCCAGAGCTGCCCCCGGAGCCGGATCTTCTCCTCGCTGAGCAGGGCGATGGCGTCGCCCTTCCTGTACTCCAGCAGGTAGCGGTTCTTGCTCTGGCGCACCACGGTCTTGAGCAGCCTGCCGAACTTGAGGTTGGACACCGGGCGGTCCTGGAAGGTGGGGTACTTGGTGGTGGCGGCGAACGGGGACAGGGTGATTTTCCCCACCTCGTTCTTCTTGAGAAAGCGCCGCTGCCCGGACGGCTTGATGGCGCTTTTGGGGGGCGGTGGAGGGGTCTGGACGCAGAACTGCGTCAGGATGGCCTCCTGGTCGTCCTTCACCTGGACCCTCAGGGTGAAGTCGGACAGCTCGCCGGGGTTCTGGCAGGAGATGGGGAAGACGAGGCGGCTCACCTTGCCCAGCTTCATCTGGAAGCCCCGCACCACCCTGGGCTGCTCGCCGGCCCTGACCTCGTAGTTCGTGGTGTTGGGGAACAGGCAGACCCGGAGGTCCTGGGGCCGGGACAGGGTGAAGCGGTGCTTGCCCCAGAGCTGCAGGGCCAGCGGGGCGGGGCTCGGGGCCTGGCGGGTGACCTCGCTGACCAGGAGAATCCTGGGCGCACAGTCGTGCCCAAAGACGGTCACCACGGTCTTGAAGGACGGGTGGATGTGCTTGGGGCCGTAGAGACCCACCGTGACCTTCTTGTGGATGAAGTCCCACACCGTGGACGGGTACAGGATGCTGGGGCCGTGGGCGACGACGGCCAGGTACATGCAGGGCTCGAGGCTGTCCAGCTGCACCCGCACCGTGTCCCCGTGGCTGTGGGTGAGCGGGATGGGGGCGTACGGCCCCTCCTTGGCGTCGCTCCGCAGACACTGGAGCCCCACTGTGCTTCTGCTGACCACGTCGCCCTTCACCTCGGCGGAGACTTTCATCTCCAGGATGAGGACGGTCTTCACCTCCAGGGTGCTCAGCTTCACCTCCAGCACCGGGCTGACGCTGCTGCAGCGGTCGCTGTTGAGCTCCAGCGGGGGGTCCAGCAGCGCCTTCACGGCGATCTGCTGGGTCTCCCCGGGCGGCACGTGGCCTTCAGGCACGTGGATGCTGATGCTGGTGTCGGGGAGCTGCACGGCGCCCCCCGAGCTGTCCAGCTTGCACACGACGTTGGTCTCCACCGCCTGGGTCTGCCCCCACCCTGGGTTCTGGCCCAGCAGGTCCAAGTCGTGGCAAGAGCGGGCCAGCTTCCGGTGGCTCAGCCAGGCGGCCCGGAAGTCCTCCCGGCTCTGGAACTGCTCGGGGGCCGGCGACCTGAGGCCCGCGAAGAAGCCCGACGCGGCGGGCGCGTCGGACGTGGCCTGCAGCGCGGAGAGCTCCGACAGGCTGTAGGACCGCTTGCTCCTGAAGAACGGGTTGTCGCGCCTGGCCGGCGGCTCGGCGAGGGGCGGCAGGCCCGGGGCGGGCAGCTCGTCAAAGAGGTTGCCGGGGCCGGCCGTGGCGGCGGAGCTGGGTCCCGGGAAGGAAGGCGTGCCGGCCTCGAAGAGCAGCAGGTCCACGGGGCTCTCGGCGCGCAGCTCGGCCACGCCGGGCGCCCCCGGCACGTGCCCGTCCAGGAAGGGGTTGGTCCGGACCCCGTTCCAGAAAGGGTTGTTCCTGTGCAGGGGGGGCGCGCCCTGGCTGCCCGTCCACCCGCCCAGCGAGTCCAGCTCCGGGGCCGCCTCGTCCGGGCTCTCGGGGGGGTGGTCGATGACGCCGCTGTCGCTCAGCGTAGAGTTCCGGTGGCCCAGGGGCTGCACGTGGGAGGCCGGGATGTAGCCCATCTCCGTGGTGGTGTGCGCGTACCACCACTGCCCGCCCGAGGCGTCCAGCACGTACAGGTGGTCCCCCTTGGAGAACTTGAGGGTGGCGAAGTTGGTCGGGCAGTGATCCTTGACGGCAATCACTTCCTTTGCATTTCCAAAAGGTGTGGGGCTGTCCCCGAGCAAGGCACTGGGAGAAGGCACTGTGGGGACAGACACAGGTGTGAGGGCCAGGGCCGCCGGGCCGAGGGCACGGGCGAGGGACAGCGGCGCCGACGTCGCCCAGGGCGCACGGCCCGATGGCCCCCAAGCCCCCGACACCGAAAACAAAGTCAACGCCAACTTCTCTAAACTTTACCTTTGCAGGTGCGGCGGAAGCCGGAGGCTGGTGGGCTGACCTGGGGGCGCCCCGCGGCCAGCTGGAGCCGGGGGCCACACATCCGGGGGGGTTACCCGAGGCTTCGTCCGATGCCACGCGGCCATGCGCAGCCTGTTCTTGCTCCCCCTTGGAGCCAGGCAGCGAACCTCGGCCAAGCCCTCACTTTCTACCCACAAGCCCACTTCCCGGCTAACAGAATTGAAGTCCTTCCTCTGTCCTCAGGCTGTCCCCAGACCCATGGGGCCGCACCCCCTTTCCTAACGGGGGGCAGGGTTGAGCTCCTGCCTCCTTGCCAATCCAATTGCAAGAAAGCTGTATCCTGCGCTCAGAACCTGGCGCCACGGTCCGTCTGTGGGCACGGCGGCCACTGGCCCCCGCGTGGTCACGCACAGGTAGCCGACGGGCCGACGTGGGCTCGGCAGCGTGGCTCACCTGCCCCACACTATCGGCAGGCGCGGCCACTCCTGAGCCACAGGCTGAGTTGGGGTCAGCCGTGAGGGTCTCCGCGCTAGCCCAGAAGCAGGACACTCAGGCGCCCTGTGGTTTAAAACATCGCTGGACCAGGGTTTCCTTTCTCTAATTTGCCGGGACCAGAAGCGCTGCCAGGTAGACAGGATGGTAGGGGCCCTTCCAGGATGGTGGAGCAACAGGTCACTACGAAGCTGTCCCAGCCACTGCTGCAGGGGTTCAATCCCCGCCGGCGGGGGGACCCCCAGGGCGCGGCAGACCTCTCCTGACCTGCCCGCTGCTCCCTTAGCAGGGTGCTTCAGTAGATCCCCACTCTGCTCCCCGCTCTGTCTCTGGGGAGTCCTCTCGCCCATCACCTCTGGCCTGTACCCCAGTTCTATAAACATAAGTAAATAAATCTTAAAAAAAAGAAAAAAGACAGTAGAAAGATTCACTCAAAACACCCAGTGAGACTCAGGTAAGCGACCCTCTGTCTCAGCCAGGCTGGGAAGAGGGGCCTGAGAGCAGGCCAGAAACACAGGCGCCTTCGGGAAACACCGGGGGTGCCCTGGCCATCAGGCTCGTTGTCCTCGCCGCCCAGCTCAACCCGCTCTTCAAACACACCGTTTACGGGGAGTACGGCTCTTGAGGCCCGTCCCTTTCAACCTCGTTCAAACGAGTGCTGAGGGTGAGGACGGGCAGGGGGCTCCCCAGGAACCTGCTGAAGATCAAAGGCTCTGTCTGGCCGGCTCACGTGTCTCTCAACAGCTGTTCGGGCGCCTGAGAGCCCCTTTGAAAAGTGACTCAAGCTCGTTGCCGGCCTCTGGCTTCCCCCGAGCACGAGTCCAGTGCCGAAGCGCCGGGCAGGGACGAGCACCGTGTGACACGCGCTTCCCACGCGCGAGGCAATTCCAGGCGGGGCGGGTCCCCTGCCCCCCATTCCGGGTCTGCTCGGGGCGGGCGGCTCGCTCCTCCCGATGGAAACAGCCCAGGCCGGCCACGCCAGCCCACTGCGCCCGGCCTGACGTTTTACTGAGAGCCTGGCTTCCGGCAGCGAACACCTCGCAGACAGGAAACTGGCCTTCGAGGAGGGGAGCTGCCGGCGGCTGAACGGCACCCCGCTTTCTCTGCTGTGCGATTCTACTCTGTCAAACTGGCCCCACACAAGATCACCTGCTGGTTTCCCTCGGAAACGGACGGGAAGTTTCTGCTGATTTCTAGGGACGGGGCTGCGGGGAGCACAGGCCGGGGGCGGAGCGCCTGCCCGGCGTCGCTAGGCCGGCTCCTCAGAACGGCTTGGCCCCCCGGGGTCAGGTGACCCCAGAGCCAGTCTCACGGTCACGATGGTACGAAATGCGGCGGCTCAGGGGGGCAGGCAGGCGCAGGGCCAGCCAGGGGCTCCCAGAGCCAGAGACACCGCCCGCCCGCTCCTAATTTGACCTTCCCCCGCACGGCTTCGTCCGCCAACACACTGGGGACCCTCGTGGCTGCGCTGGGCTGGGGTCCCCATCACCCGTTTAGGGGTGAGCGCCCTTCACGCCTGCTTTGCCCAGGGCTGTCGCCGAAGCAGGCCCTGCGCACAGCAGCACACAGCGGACACTGGGGACGCACGCCCGCCTCGTGCTGACCACGCCACGCGGCCACGCCTCGGCGGCCCCAGCAGCTACGCTGCCCGGGTGCCCCTTCCCCAAAAGCACACCCGGAGAACCGCTGTGTGTGCGGGAGGAAACAGCAAAGTGAGAAGCGACGGCCTGAGGAGGGCAGGGGCCGGCGGGCTCGGGAGACCTCACCGCGTCGCCACTTCCTGCCACGGGCGCCAGAGCCGCCTGTTTCCTGGACGCAGCTCCTGAAACTGCCCCTTCCCGTGACAGCCGCAGCCGGCCGGCCGCCAGGGTCTTGTTAGAGTCGCCCTGCGTTATCACCCTCTCGTGTTCCCCCGAATAATTCCTTCACGGTCACATTTTTTAAATTAAACACCAAGGCGATTAAACTGACCACGTAGCTGGAGAGCAAGTATCAGAGTAAATTACCACTTTGGTTTTCACCAGCCTGAAGAGTACCAACGGTTTTAGTTGAAATCCCAGGCTCTCCACTTGCGGGAGGGAGCCGGGCCCCTCGCACGTGTAACGGGTCTCCTTGGTGGGGTCCGGCCAGGGGCCCCCCGGAGGGCCCAGCGGCGTGGACGGGGTGTGGACACCACCTCGGGGCCCCTGGGGGCGCGGGCTGGCCCCTGCCCGCCGCCCGCAGCATGACCCGCCTCAGCGAGTTCTGGGGGGTCTGCCCAGACTCAGCACCCCTCGACTGTGATACGCACCCCCGCCCCCGGGTGTCGGGGTGTCAGGCAGCTCAAGGCACTGCTGAGTAGTGCATTCCCCCGGCGAGCGCTCACAGGCGCACATCCGTCAGGGGCAATTTCACAGTCGGGCTGGACTAGGCGCCCGCTTACCAGGGACGAGCGCGACCCTGCGCGGGCAGCGCCTGGGCCTGATGTCCTGGGAGCGAGGCCAGCGGGCCGTGGCCCCAGCTGGCTTCTGTCCCCCGCCCAGTTCTGATGTTCCTCGAGGAGCCGAATCAGTGTTTTTAAAATCGAGCCCTGCGGCCCTTGCAGGCCGGGCGCCGGCCCCCTCCCACAGGCGCCCGGTGGTGGCTGTGACTGGCAGGGCCTTGGCAGACAAGGCCCGCGGCAGGCGAGGAGAAGCAAAAGGCTGTTGCTTGGCACAGCAGCCGCTGCTCCTGCTCTCGGTCATAAATGTCCGCAAGCCTCATCGGTCTTTTCTTGTAAAGAACACGCTCGGGTCAGAGCATCACACAGGGACAAGAAGTGGAGGAGAAAGTGAAGGGGACAGACACAAGGGACAGACGCGGCTTCAGACCCTCAGTGCGTCGGGCCGGAGCGTCGCGGTTCTCCTGGGGGACAGCAACTCAGTGTTCAAGGACTGTGCACCAGAGGGAGCCTTTATGCGGGGAGCACAGAGCTCCTACTTCAGCTCTGTGTCTCGTGCTGGGCAGTTTTGGAGGAATGTGGTGAACGACGTGAAGGGGCTGCTGATGGCGGTGGGGGTGGGGGTGCCGGTGGAGGTGCTGATGGCGGTGGGGGTGGAGGTGACAGTGAAGGTGGTGATGGCGGTGGGGGTGACGGTGATGGTGGTGGTGATGCTGATGTGGTGGTGATAGTGATTTAGGTGATGGTGCTGGTGGCGATGGCGGTGGGGTGGTGACAGTGACGGTGATGACTCAACACAAGGTGCCAGGAGACCCCTTGGCAGACACCGGGCAGATCTGAGAGGTCAGGGTGGGCCACAGGGAGCCGGCGTCTGCTCCCACATCAGGGCCCACTGACAGCTTTTCTCATCGGCCCGTTTTTTGTGGCTGTTACACAGAAAGCCCAGCCCTGGCCGGCTCCACATCAGGCCCAGCCAGCTGCGGCCTCTGGGCCTTCCCCTGCCCCTCACCGGGACACAGCCACACCACAGGGAGGGCCTGTGACGCTCTGGGTCACTGGGCAACGCTGCACAGCTGGGGCCTCTGCCGTCCTGAGGCCGCACACTGACTGCCTGACCCTTACGGGTGAAGCTTGCTGCTGCCCCGAGACCCTGTGACAGCCGGTCCCTGGTGTCACCCAAAACTCCGAAAATAGCAAACAAGCAACCTGCGCTTACTCGGGAACAGTACTCAGTGGACTACTCTGAAGTGGCCAAGGCCCCAAGGAAGCCGAGGCGAGGTGGTCGCCGAGCTGATCACCCCGACAGTGGCAGCGTGCCCCGTGGCCTGCACGTGGCGGTCCCCCGCCCCCACACCGGGCCCAGCTCACCTTTGACGTCGCTGAAGCTCGTGTCTGAGAACCCGTCGCTCAGATCGATGAGGGCCCCCTCGGACTTGCAGCGGGGGAGGCCGTTGGCGGTGGCGGCCCGGATCCGCTGCGCGGCCATGGCGAACGCGCTCCGGCGGCCGCTAGGGCTGCATGGCCCCCGCTCAGGCAGCACGGGCTGGGGTGCGCTCAGGCGGCTCCACGTGCCTCTTCCTGAAACGGCAGAGGGAGCCCTGAGCGAGGGGCCGCGGCCTCTTGCAGGGGCCGAGTCTGGCCCACCCGCCCGGCTCCCGGGTGCCCACAGCCTCCTTGCTCCCTCGGACCGGGGAGCCCGGCCGACTGGGTGCGCACGGACTGACAGGACGCCAGAGAGCGGCTTGCCACCCTGGACGGTCCTCACCCACGCCCGGCGCCCGGTCCCTTCACCGCCTCCCTCCTGGGCGCCTGAGTCCGCATCCAGGACCACGAGGCGGGGCTGAAGGCGGTGGAGGGCGGCCCCGGCCCGCACAGGCGAGCTGCGGACGAACCGCCAGGCCTGGGGCCGGGCGGTGGCTGCCGGGCGAGAGCTCTGCCTGCAGCTGAGGTGGAGGCTGCGAATCCCTGAGCCTGCCCAGAGTCTGCCCACGTGCCCACCCAGAGCATCCTGCAGCTGGGATGGGTGTCAGCGGGCCCAGGGCAGCGCCCCGACCAGGAGGCTGAGGGTCGCGGGCTCAGGGCCTGGTCAGGCCCTCCCTCCTGCTGGGGCGCTGCCGCAGGCCGGCCACCTCCTCAGAGCACATCCTGTGCACCGCCCAGGGGCTGCTGCTTCTCCGGGCAGGCGCAGACGGAGCTGGACACCCCTCACCTGGACGTCACTCCGCGGCACAGGTGGAGGGCAGGCGGCCCCTGCTGGACCACACCCGCCGGGGTCTTCCCCTCCTGAAGCGGCCCCGACCGGGAAGAGACCACGTGGGGAAGAGTCCACGGGGCGCCTCAGGCCGGCGGGGTCGGCTCCAGGAGGCGGCGGCCACCGCCTCGCCGGGGTCTCCCCCAGACCCAGAGCCCGCAGGCCGCGCTTCCAGCGACCGTCGGAACCCTGCCCCCCACGGTCGTCCACGGGGACCCTTGCCCAAGCCATCGGGGCCTCTGCCCCCCCCAGCCCACAGCCCGCGGTGCCGCCTGCAGCTGCTGACCGGCAAAGTCCTGCTTCCCGCCGGCCTCCCGAGCGCCCGCCTTCTGCGCTCCCGGCCCTCGGGGTACCCCCACCTGCACCCCCAGTGCACGGGCGCAGCTTCCCGCCAGCCCAGCTGCTGCGTGCGCCTGCAGGTAAACTGTCTCCTCCGCCGCTTCCGCCCCACCCTCCTCCCGCCAGCCAGCTCCAGGCGTGACTCACGCCTGGCCCCAGGTCTGCAGTGCCCCGAGCTGCACGCTCAAGCTCAAGGCCGCCCAGAGCCCGGGCTTCCCTGAGAGCCACGGGGGGCGAGGGCGGGCGGCCCCACACCGCCCCGCACCGTGCCCGGACGCGCGACGCCAGCTCCCCGTGCCGTTTCCTATTTTATTCCTTGCTGTGTGTGCACATTCTGACACGCCTGCTGTCAATGTCCAGAAAGTCCGAGTGACACCGCTGCCCCGGCCACGGCGCGTAGTGTCTGTGCACACACCTGCCCTGGAGCAGGGGGTTCGGGGGGCCGCACACGCGGGCGGGACCCCGCGCCCCTGGGCGTGGCTGGTCCTGCGTGCTGGACAAGGGCCCGGCCCCCGAACCCCAGGTCCAACCCTCTTTGGGCCCGACAGGCCCCCTGGGCCTCCAGGTCCACACCCAGCTCTGGGGGGGCTCCCAAACCCATCCCAGCTGCCCCACTTCAGTCCGGGGACACTTACCCACGAGCCAAAGGCCCGACGTCCCTGCCAGCTGCCCTCCCCCACCCCCAGCCTTGTCAAGGATGCGCACGGGGGCCGCCCTAGCGGCTCCACTTTCAGGGGGTGCCCCCATCCGGGCCCGCCCAGCACCCCACACCGTCCTCGCTCAGGGACAGTCTGGCCCCTCCGCAGGCCTGCAGCGCCCACCGGGGTCCCTTGGCCCTGGTCCCCTGGCTTCTCGCACCCCTAGGGGCCTTCACAGGCTGTGTGCTGGGGCCCGCTGGGACTTGCGGGAGC